TTTTTTTTTTTTTTTTTTTTGCGGTACGTGGGCCTCTCACAACAGTGGCCTCTCCCATTGCGGAGCACAGGCTCCGGACGTGCAGGCTCAGCGGCCATGGCTCAGAGGCCCAGCCGCTCTGTGGCATGTGGGATCCTCCCGGACCGGGGCATGAACCCACGTCCCCTGCATTGACAGGCAGACTCTCAACCACTGCGCCACCAGGGAAGCCCAAAATTTAAACACTTTTGTACATCAAAGGCCATTAACAGAAATGGGTGAAAAATGTACCACTCTGGTGGGAGATGTTGATAATGGGAGAGGTTATGCATGTGTGGGGGCAGGAGGTATATGGGAAATCTCTGTACCTTCCACTCAACTTCCTTGTGAACCTAAAGCTATTCTAAAAAACAAAGTCTACTTTTAAAAGGTTAAAAGCGTGTAATTGATAAAAATATCAAATCACTATGTTGCACACCTGAAACTAATATAATGTTTTAAGTCAACTATACTTCAATAAAAAGATTAAAATGGTAAATTTTGTTACATATATTTTATAACAATTTTACAATTTTAATGGAAAAAATGGCAAATTTTGTTTTATATATATGTAACCACAAGTAAAAAAAAAAATTTTTTTTAAGGCAACATAATGGCAACTTCAACAAAGAAATATCGACAAGGGTGATCTTCAAGGAAAAAGAAAATTATCCCAGAAGGAAGCCTGAGGATACAGAGGGGAATGAAGGGCAACAAAATGGTAAATATATGGTAAGTCTAAATTAATACTGAAATACTAAATAACAGTAATATTATCTCTTTGGGTTTAAAATACACATAGATTGGGCTTCCCTGGTGGCGAATCTGGCGAATCTGCCTGCCAATGCAGGGGACACAGGTTCGAGCCCTGGTCTGGGAAGATCCCACATGTCGCAGAGCAACTACGCCCATGTGCCACAACTACTGAGCCTGCGCTCTAGAGACTGCGAGCCACAACTACTGAGCCCATGTATCAGAACTACTGAAGCCCATGTGCCTACAGCCCGTGTTCCACAACAAGAGAAGCCACTGCAATGAGAAGCCCACGCACCGCAACGAAGAGTAGCCCCTGCTTGCCGCAACTAGAGAAAGCCCACGCACGGTAACAAAGACCCAACACAGCCAAAAATAAAATAAATTAAAAAATTTTTTTTATTAAAATAAAATACACAGATTAAAATATCCAACGTGTGGATAAGGAAGAAGGTAGGTGGAATTAATGTTCAAGAGTTCTAACGTCTTTGCATGAGTCCAGGAAGAGGTAAAATTACTAATTTTTATTAGGCTTTTATAATTCAAAGACATATGTTTTATTTTAATCTCTACGGTAACCACTAAATAATAAAAATGTATAAATACCAAATTAATAGAGGGAAATTTTAAACTAATCAATCCAGTGAAAGAAAAAAAAGCAATAAAGAGCATAGGCAAGACAAATTAAAAAGTAAATAATTAGATGGTAGACACAAACCCAAATTACCAACAATTAAATAAAACCATAATGGACTAAATATTCTAGTTAAAAGCGAGCTTGCAAAAACTGTCCTCGGGATTTTGATAGGGATAGCCACTGAATCTGTAGATTGCTATGGGTAGTATTGACATTTTAATAATATTAACTCTTCAAATCCATGAACATGGGATGTCTTTCTGTTTATTTATGTCTTCTTTAATTTCTTTCAACAGTGCATTATAGTTTTCATTGTACAAATCTTTTACCTCCTTGGTTAATTCTTAAGTATATCATTATTTTTGATGTGGTATAAACATACAATGCAGTATTATTCAGCCTTAAAAAGGAAGGAAATTTTAACACATGCTACAGCATGGATGAACCCTGAGGACATTATACTAAGTGAAGTCATCCAGTCACAAAAGGACAAACGCTGTATGATTCCACCTATATGAGGTACTTAGAGTAGTCAAATTCATGGAGATAGAAAGCAGAATGTAGTTGCCAGGGACTGGGGGAGGGGAGAATGGGAAACTAACGTTTAATGAGTATGAAGGTTCAGTTCGAGAAGATAAAAAAGGTTTTGGAGATGGATGACGATGGTGGTTGCACAATATGAATGTACCTAATGCCACTGAACAGTACACTTAAAAAATGTAACTTTTATGTTATGTGTATTTTACCACAACAAAAAATAAATAAAAATTTAAAAACTGAAATCAGAGTAGGTTCTCTCAACACAGTGGAATTCAGCTGGAAGTCAATAACAGAATTCATTAGAAAAGCCTCATAGGGCTTCCCAGGTGGCGCAGCGGATGAGAGTCCGCCTGCCGATGCAGGGGACACGGGTTCGTGCCCCGGTCCGGGAAGATCCCACATGCTGCGGAGCGGCTGGGCCCATGAGCCATGGCCACTGAGCCTGCGCGTCCGGAGCCTGTGCTCCGCAACGGGAGAGGCCACAACAGCGAGAGGCCCGCGTACCGCAAAAAAAAAAAAAAAAAAAAAA